GTATAACTACTAATCTATCTAGAATATTGTTAAAGTTGGATAGAATTATTTAGTTAGAATCAGTTAGAAGCGGTCGGGGAACTTTTTTAACCATTACCCCAAAATAAATTTTAAGTAAATTTTAAATAAACATTATTTATCGAATTAATTTGCATTTATATATTTATAAAAAAAAAATTCTTAAATTGGAACAAACAAAAATTAATTGAAAACTTTCCCCCTTCAGGTTTTGGAAAAATGATGTTGCTTCATGTTTGATATAATTACTTTAAAATTGGGACTTTTTGATGTAAGAGCAATTTGAATACAGTCTTCGGCGTTTAATCGATTTCTGTTTTTCGTTTTTATGTTCATTAGAGTGTAAAGTAAATTATCTGCAGAAATATAAATACTTCTTTACTTTATTTTCAAAATGATTTTTCTTTGCATAAATAAACTCATTGAATAATAGTAAATCTGAATTAAAATATTGCTTGGTTTATAAATTTAATAATTTAACAATTTTTAATTTGTCTTTTGTAAAAATATCAATAATGAATCGTTTATTTTGAATAAACGATAATATAAAACATTATAGTTCTAATTGAAAATGTATATAAATATTACAGGTTGGCCCAATTGAACTTTACAGAACGCTGTATTTTTTTTTTATTTGAAACTGGATTTTATTGAACCATAGGCAAAAAATGTTTGAAAAAAATTAAATTTTTCGAATTCATTTAAAATTTTCTAAATGGCCGTCTCTAGCGCGAGCTATGGCTCTGAGTTGGTCGACAAGCGAGACGCACTCTCCACGAAAGTGAACCTGCAGAATCTTCCTCTATTCACGAAGAAGGGCTTTTCTGAGTACATCAATACCTTGGTATTTTTTAGTTCTGACATTGGCCTATAAAATGCCCCATACTAAGAAGTCGTGCGGACTTGCATCTAGTCACCGTGGCCTCCACTTTCACATGTGGTCGATATGAAATTTGGAGCGTTCTCTCTCAGCCATTGTTGGTTTTCGCGTGTTTTGTGCGATGGTGCAGAATCTTGTTGTAACGTCCACTCTTTCTATCTGAAATGTTTGGTTACCCACGGCTTCAAAGCACCTTCTAAAACTTTTTCGTGATAGACATTCGCAATAAACCTTGATGCCACTGTCCAAAAACATCAACGGAGAGCGACTTTCGACTGTCACAGCCTCTCAAACGGTAGTGCTTACCTTAGTGTGGCCATTCCAATGTCTAAATTTTCTTTTGACATTTCTTCTAAGTAAATTCGATCATTTTGTTTCTTTACTAATGTCAAAATTGGGAAATTTTTCACATCAGACAAGACGATATTTGGCAATTGGCTCCTTCGCTCTATCAAGCCTACTTTTTTTTTGAACATCGGTGAGATCTTGTCCTTTTTGGAACATGTAAGGCTTTACTTTGAGTTCGTTTTTGATTAATCGTTGCATAATTATTTTCGATATTGTCAGAAGAGTAGTCATTTGTCTTCCACTGTCGCGAATTTCATTCAATTTGAGCCTTAACCAGTTCTGCCACAGATGTAGTTTTTTTTTCGATCAACAAAATAGCATTTATTAATACTACTAGCTTCGTTATAACATGTTAAGGTTCGAGAGACAAAAGATTTATTCACATTGAGGTGTCCAAGGGCTCTGACTATAGCCACTTTTGGTTTTCCGCTCAAATATAGGACTATCAAACTATTGTGTTTGAATTCTATCACGGATATTTTTTTTCCCAAAAAACTGAGATGCAAATGCTTCCGCAGGCTTGTAAACAATAAAATCAGCTATCATTACGCAAAATACGGACACAACGTTGCCAGCGGTTCGAAAGTTATAGCACTGTATTTGGATTTTATAATTAATAATGTCTATCGTTACATGAATTCTGCTCGTTTTTTTTTAAAGATTTTAGATGTTGATGTTCTTTGGAGAATTCTACCCGTTCAATATTTGGGTCAGGACTTCATTTCTACAGAGAAGATGTGTAAGGAAATGGAATGGGGTATTTTGATGTTGTGGTTCTAATATATGCAGACGGGGGATGTCAGATGAATATGCGGCAGGTATCCACGGCGACGGCATGTGGGAGCGTCGCGACGCCTTCTCGACTAGTGTGTAAACCACTTGTTAGAAGGTCAGCATATCAGAGCGCCACTGACATCTCAATCTTAAAAAAATAATAACAGTCTGGCGCCCAGAAACAGCATTTTTATCAGAAATCATGAGAATAAAAAGTTTATATCCGGTCAAGACAACGTGAATAGAAATTTTATATCAATAATAAGTTAATTATATCTAATCTATTGTTTCATTTATAACGTATTCATTTGATTGAAAAGTTAATAAAACTAAATTTATTTCAATCCTTCAAACTTTCATTGTGTTTATATTTTCAATTTTGCTTTTCCTTTACTCGAACCGTAAAAGAAAAATCTTTATGCGGGTGCAACTATCTCGTCCGAAGATTTACGTTTTGTTTTACGGTTTCAGGGATAATCTGCAGATGGAATTTATCCACGTTGGAAGTGCGTCTTTATAGTCCCCAGGAAGCACTTGGCCCGACGCGTATACGTGAGAAAACAGCTTGCGTTTCATATCTTATCTCATTGCATTCGATTCCCTTGAAACCAATTAAATTCGCAAAAATGTACCGATCAATTTTTCCCAATTTCTCATTGCTATTTTGTCACGAGATTAATCGTATGAATATTTAGAAAAAAAATTGCAATTAATAATTGTTAATATTATGTAAATATTGCTCACGTATTTGTTGAAGGAAATGAATGTTGTATTAAAATTGCGATATACATATTTGCGATGTACATATTTGCTAAAATGATAATAATGATATGAATATGATAAATGATGCGACATTGCGCAAAAATCATTTGAAACAAGTCACGCGAAGTATATGGGTGAGAGAGCTCGATAATCCTATTAAACCAGAATGTTTGTAATTTCGGTGTTTGCTTTAAGATTGTTTGGAGATCGAGAGGGATCAAGTGACCCTGTGCATCCTGCTGGGCGCTGGCCAGTATGGACAGGTTTACAAGGGGATCTACACCGACTGCTTCGGGACAAACAGGATTATCGCTGTTAAAGTGGAGAAAACTGAGGAAAACAAAGAGGTCGAATGCAATGAAGCAGGTATGGACATATATTACAGTCAGTAAAGAGCACATTGTCAACAACAGAAAAATAAGAACATTTTATTAAAGTTTTTTTTATCGCAATTTCAATACAACATTCATTTCCTTCAACAAATACGTCAAAGATGTCAAGCGTTTAATTTGAAAAAATAGTCAAGTTTACTGAAATAGTAGAGTTTTTGTATGTTTTATGGCAATAGTGTATTGAAATGACTTCATATTGAGCATTGATTATACTGTGCTAATGATGAATACAATTACAGATGCTTTGAGGATGTTGCGACATGATTTCATAATAAATTTAATTGGCGTATGCAACGATCGATGCAATACAAGTCCGATGTTGATGATGGAATTCGCCGAGTATGGAGAATTGGGTGAATATTTGCAGATAAACCGTCCCTTCGTCGACACGGAAATGCTGCTCTACTACATGTGGCAGGTTTCCAGTGCTTTAACGTACATCCATTCTAAGGACTACGTGCACAGAGATATTGCAGTCAGGAACATCCTGGTGATGAACCCGAGACACGTTAAGTTGGCTGACTTCGGACTGGCCAGGAAACTGGAGAACAACATCTACATAGGAAAGTACTACAAGGTACCCATACGTTGGATGAGCCCAGAAAGCCTCAAATTGAATAGCTTCAGTACTGCAAGTGACATCTGGATGTTCGGTAAAGAATCTATTTTTGAAATACACTCAATTCTTCTTTATTTTTATACTGTATTAAAGCCCTCGATTATTGATATCTATAATCGAGTCATTATCATAGATTTAAACTACTTTATAAGTGAAATTATTATCTAGATAGAATTCTCAATATTGTATTGTTTTTGCAGGTGTATGCGTATGGGAAATGCTAATGTACGGAGCGAAACCCTACAATGGCATGTCGAACAATGAGGCTTTCGATTGCATATTAAGAGGAAACTTGTTGCACACACCTGAGTTTTGTCCGGAGGGTTTGGAGGAATTGATCCTGAATTGCTGGAACTATTGTCCCACTCGACGGCCCGATTCTCGAAAAATTGAAAACCAATTATGGTGAAGGATATTATTTCTTTTTTTTTTGACAATACTCATCTATTACAATTTGCAATTTCAGCAAGATAATTAACGAACATCTGAGCTCTGAAATCGATTCGGAAGATGAGATTACGCAGCCGAAACCGCCGAAAATGTCCATAAAAGGTACAAACATTTACAATTTATCCAATTTTAATTGACATTATAATCTATTACATCAAATATATACAGTAATACCTCGAATAGTGCGGCTTCAATCAGTCCGTACTAAAAATTTGATAATTATAATTCAAGAAAATAAAAATAATATTTACAATTTATCAAAATCCAAAATTATTATCTAATTGACATTTTAATCTATTACATCGAATATGTACGGTAATATCTCGGATAGTGCGGTTTCAATCAGTCCATTTACTACGATTTGAAAATTTTAATTCAAGAAAATAAAAACCAATTCTAAAAAAATAGTATATAAATGTTTGCTATTTCCCTTTATACAGTAAAGTCTCTTTGTGGAGTAAATTTCTGTTTCTCAATTAGTCTGGTTTAAAACCGCTCTGAACATTTGGGAACCAATTACCCGCACTTTGCGAGGTATTGATGTACATAGTTTATTTTGTTGTTGTCATTTCTCATAAACTTTTTTGTTATTAAATGTGTTGTTTTTCCCTTCATACAGTATAGTCTCTTTGTGGTGTTAATTTCTGTTTATCAATTAGTCCGGTTTAAAACAGTTCGGAATATTTGTGGAACCTATTACCCGCACTATGCGAGGTATTGCTATACATAGTTTATTTTGTTGTTGTCATTTTTCATAAACTTTTCTTTATTAAATGCATTGTTTTTTCCCTTTATACAGTAAAGTCTCTTTGTGGAGTTAATTTCTGTTTCTCGTTTAGTCCGGTTTAAAACAGCTCGGAATATTTGTGGAACCTATTACCCGCACTATGCGAGGTATTGCTATACATAGTTTATTTTGTTGTTATCATTTTTCATAAACTTTTCTTTATTGAATGCATTGTTTTTCCCTTCATACAGTATAGTCTCTTTGTGGAGTTAATTTCTGTTTCTCGATTAGTCCGGTTTAAAACAGTTCGGAATATTTGTGGAACTGATTGCCCGCACTATGCGAGGTATTGTGATACATAGTTTATTTTGTTGTTGTCATTTTTGATAACCTTTTTTTTTATTAAATGTATTCCAGATATTGCCAATCAAGTGATCATAAACAACAGGAATTCCAAATTCATCGAGGAAAACATTTTTTCTAATTACGATAACACGGTTTGGCTTTCATCGCCTTTGCAGAATGTAAGTTGATGCATTGATATAATTGAAGTATAATCGTATAATTTTATTAACTAAATTTATTGATTTTCATTTCTTATATTTCAAAAGTAATAACTAGATTATGTAATGTGTCTTTGATACAATGTGGACATAGCTTAGAATCAGTTTTACATTTCTTGTTGTTGTTTCAATTCAGAATTCTACCAACTCGTCTAATAACTACGTTGATCAATACGAGTATATGGATATACGGTCAAACCATGTGGTAAGTATTTCCATTTAATATTAAGTAAAATTAAAATTGTTAAATTTTGATGATTGAGTAACTTGTTTTTATTTGCTATATTTTAAAGCTGGATTACTCTTCGTATGATTATGACAGCAGCAATTACAATGACAATTTGAATTCGTTACTGGCGCAGCAGTTGCGTTCGAGCGAGGAAGACGCAGAATGGCTGAAACAGTGCGAGCAGAGTTTCGTAAGTATCCTGAAACATTCTCGTACATTTTCTTTTTCTTCCTTTTGTAAACATTAACTGTGATTTATATTTTTTTACATGGTGCCAGTCGTTTGTGTGAATTTAATATGGGACCAATCGATATAAAGATGAAACTCGGTGCCAACAAGTCTGTATATGTATATATATATTTTTTAGTTAGTTTCCTCTACGTCCTTCTCCACTATTAATGCGAATAAATGGCAAGGAAAATTTAAACCGAACTAGGCTTTAACCAAAACAGAAAAACACAGTTTGTTTTTCGGGTTTTTAATTTAATTAGCAAAAGCCATGTCGTTTAGCTTTGTATTTATTTTAATTATTTACTCAAAAGGAACTCATCAAAAAATTGTTAACATATAAAAATAAATAATATTATTTATATTTATTAATGCATCTTATGTCTTTATTAGTT